ACTATACATCTGACAATAAAGTCCAGGCTGAGGCGGTCTGAGATAAAGATGCAGAACATGTTGGGAACTGGAGCAAAGATAACTCTTGTTATACTTTAACAAAGAGACAGGTGGCATTTTGCCCCTGCCCTAGAGATTTGTGGCACTTTGAACTTGAGATAGATGGTTTAGTGCACCTAGTGGAAGAAATTTCTAGGCAGCAAAGCATTTAGGATGTAACCTGGATTCTCTTAAAAGCATTCAGCTTTAGACATTCACAAAGAGATGGTTTGGAATTGAAACTTATTTTAAAATGGGAAGCAGAGCATAGAAGTTTAGAAACTGTAGTTAGATGAAGTGATAGTAAAGAAAAACCCATCTTCTGAGGAAAAATTCAAGCAACTGCAGAAATTTGCATAAGTAGTAAGAGGCTTGATGTTAGTTGCCAAGATAATGGGGAAAATGTTTTCAGGGCACATCACAAGTCTTCACATCAGCTCCTCCCATCACAAGTTGGGAAGCCTAGGAGGAAAAAATGGTTTCATGGGCTCGGCTAAGGGCCTTGCTCCTGTGTGCAGTCTTGGGACTTGGTGCCCTGTGTACCAACTGTGGCTAAAAGGGACCAATGTACAGCTCAGGCCATTGCTTCAAAGGGTGGAAGCTTCGAGCTGTGGCAGCTGACGCATGGTGTTGGGCCTGTGGTTGTACAAAAATAAAGAATTGAGCTTTGAGAACCTCGGCCTAGAATTCAGAGGATGTGTGGAAATGCATGGATGTCCAGGCAGATGTGTGTCGCAGGGGTGGAGCCCTCATAGAGAACCTCTGCTAGGGCAGTGCAGAAGGGAAATGTGGAGTGAGAGCTCCCCACAGAGTCTCCACAGTGGTCACTGCCAAGTGGAATGTGAAAAGAGAGCCACCATGCTCTAGACCCCAGCATGGTAGATCCACCAACAGCTTGCACCTTGCACCTGGAAAAGCCACAGACACTCAATGCCTGCCTGTGAAAGCAGCCAGAAGGGGGACTATACCCTGAAAAGTTGCAGGGGCGGAGTTGCCCAATGCTGTGGGAGCCCACCTCTTACATCAGCATGCCTCGGGTGTGAGACATGAAGTCAAAGAAGATTATTTTGGGGCTTTAAGATTTGACTACCCTGCTGGATTTTTGGAGCTTTAAGATTTGACTGCCCTGCTGGATTTTGGACATTTTGGAGCCTGTAGCCCCTTTGTTTGGGTCAATTTCTCCCATTTGGAATGGATGTATTTACTTAATGCCTGTACCCCTACTGTATCTAGGAAGTAATTAACTTGCTTTTGATTTCACATAGGCAGAAGGGACTTGCCTTATCTCAGATGAAACTTTGGACTGTGGATTTTTTAGTTATTGCTGAAATGAGTTAAGATTTTGAGGGACTGTTGTGAGGCTTGATTGGTTTTGAAATGTGAGTACCCAAGATTTGGGAGGGGCTGGGGCAGAATGATATGGCTTGGCTGTGTCCCCACCCCAATCTCATCTTGAATTATAGCTGCTATAATTTCCACATGTCATGGGAGGAACCCATTGGGAGGTAACTGAATCAAGGGGGTGAGGCTTTCCCATGCTGTTCTTGTGATAGTGAATAAGTCTCATGAGATGTGATGTTTTCATAAATGGGAGTTCCTTGGCACAAGCTCTGTTGCCTCCTGCTGTGTAACACATAGAGTTCCTTGGCACAAGCTCTGTTGCTCCTCCTTCACCTCTTCAACTTCTGCCATGATTGTGAGGCCTCCCCAGTCATGTGGAACTGTGAGTTCATTATACCTATTTTTTTTTAGAAATTACCCAGTCTCTATCATTTCTTCATAGCAGTGTGAAAATGGACTAATACAGTCTCTAATGTGAAAAACCATTTTTTTCTTCAAATGTCAAGTAGTCCTTGGCTATTCATTCATATTAGAAAAAAGAAAATATAAGACTACATAGAAATTATTTGGATAACACTGATTTTACTGGTATACTTTGCTTTAGAGTAAACAGATGGGGAACAATCAGTATGCTAAAGTCAGCTAAAGACCAGAATGAAGCAGGCTTTTTTGCCGGTGTACCCATGCCAGTGCTTACTTTTATAGTTTTGTAGACAGTTAATGCAAGTCTTGAAGCACATCACTTCTTTCATTTATTTCCCTTTACTCACAGTCAGATCTTTAAAGACAAAAAAAAAAAAAAAAAAAATCACAAAGTAGTAGCGTGCACAAAAAGGTAGGAAAGGGAGATTCAGTGTTTCTTGAGCAAACCTTCAATGGATTGTGTTTTTTAGCCTCACTTTTTACTCCACACTCTGCCATGGATATCAGGTCATTCTTTTAATTGCAGCCCTCTTTGCACACATTTTAGAGTTTAGCTTTTTCTATTCTATTTCTTCTGTGAATGCTGTTTCATCTCTCTTGCCTTTTATAAATTTGTGGTAATGACTCACTGTCTCCATTTTTGTGGGTTTATATTTCTCCTCTCCATAATATAACTTCATTACCTTTTTAAGGGATATCTGGGGACAGAAGGAAATGTATGCTGCTTGAGCTTCCTAACCAAAAATTTTATTCACATAATTTTAAAGTTTTAATATAAGGCTTACTTGCTTTTTAGTCCTATTTTCTTCTCCTTTTAAATATTTTCTACATTGCTTTCCTTTTTCATAATTGCTGTTTATAGTAGATTATGGAAATGTTTTTAAAGAAACTTTATTAGTATGGTTATTACTATTTTAGTTACTACTTCTTTCTCTTTCTTTATGCATTCCTTCATCCCACCATCACACACATTTGCCTTTCCTTAAATAACCAGTGTTACCAACATTGACAGTGTGTAGAATATTAAGTATAATTGTTTCCTTTGTCAAACTAATTGACTGAAAGCTATGAAGAAGCACCATTTGCTCTAAAGCAGGCTGACATTGTCATCAAGAAAAAAAATTCAGTTATGTATTGATTTTACAAGAAATCAATGTGATTTCAGGTATGGAGTATAGGTGATGTGCTTTATCTCAGTAATGGCTTCCTTGCATTGGCATCCTTACCTTAGTTCTTAGATAGAACTGAACCATTTTCCTCATTATAATGCCATTTTTTCCTTTTGTTTTTCAACTATTTCTCAGGGTGGCGAAGTTGTCCATGAGAATTTATGTCTGTTTCTGATTAAATGGAATTTGTCTTGGGATAATGGATGTTAGTAATATTTAAGGACTTGTATACTAGACACCATAGAAAGACAGGCAATATGAGGACAATTAGTAAATGCTATAAGAAGCCATTGGAGGCTGGGCACAGTTGCTCATACTTGTAATCCCAGCATTTGGGAGGCTGAGGCAGGCAGATCACTTGAGGTCAGGAGTTTGAGACCAGCCTGGCCAACACTAAAAAACCCTGTCTCTACTAAAAATGCAAAAATTAGCTAGATGTAGTGGCACATGCCTATAGTCCCAGCTACTCTACTGGGGAGACTGAGGCAGGAGAATCACTTGAACTTGGGAGGCAGAGGTTGCATTGAGCTGAGATCGCACCACTGCACTCGAGCCTGGCAACAGAGTGAGACTCTGTCTTAAAAAAAAAAAAAAAAAAAAAAAGAAAGAAACCATTGGAGTCTACCTCATATCCATTTCCTAGGCAATCTAACGTAGCCAAGAGATCATTTTGGCTGCTCATAGATAACAAAATATCCTTTTATTATTATTATTATTATTTAATGCATTTACTGTTTGATGTTTTTTGCTTTTCTTTTTTATAGTAAGACAAGATAAAGAAATAAAAACTATAAATTTTGGAAATAAAGAAATAAAGCCCATTATTTGTACATAATGTAAAACTACAGGAAAAAATAAGAGTTTATGAAATATCCTGGATGAACCTATCAACCTACCAAAATTATACACATAATACATATATAAACAAAAAAAGGAAAAGTTTTCTGCAAAGAGATATGATATTCAAAACATGGAGTGCCTGGAAATAAATACAACATAACAAGAGATGTACACAACTCCTATGGGAGGCTGGGCGCTGTGGCTCATGCCTGTAATCCTGTAATCCCAATGCCTTGAGAGGCCAAGGTGGGTGGATCACCTGAGGTCGGTAGTTTAAGGCCAGCCTGGCCAACATGGTGAAACCCCGTCTCTTAAAAAAAAAAAAAAAAAAAAAAAAAATCCTATGGGGAAAATAATAGAGCATTATTTTGTAATATGAAGACCTCAATAAGTAAAATTATATATATTACACGTGACTTGGAAAACTCAATGCTATACACTTGCCCAACTTTGATAGAGATTCAAAGTAATATCTGTCAGATTCCTAACTGTCTTTGTTTTGGTGAGCGGGGGCAAACCAAATTATATAAAAAGGCAATTGTCAATAGCTAAGAATAACAGTAGTATACTTTGGTGCAGGAAAAGACAAATATATCAGTGGAAGCTTATTAGTGAAAGAATAGTGCATGGATCCACAGCATTAGTGGCATTACCTGAGACCTTGTTAGAAATGCAAAATCTCAGGCCCCAGCACCAAATCAACTTAATCAGAACCCATTTGTAACAAGATTGCCAGAAATCTGTTTTCAACAGGGTCACCCAGAAGAGTGGGGAAAAAATGGTTTTAATAAATAATCTAGAGTAAATAATAACAGGAAAAAAAGGCATTTGGATTAAATAGCATTGCTTGTTTTATATGGTGCAACTTCACATTACTTTCTTCATAATACATTTCTTTAGGAAAGATCAATTTTTAGTGATAATAGAAGGGATGTTTTAAATATGCATTCTCCAAGGTGCCCCTATTACCTGTGTGGCTATCATCTATGGACCATCTTGTTAATAAGCTTTTCTTAGGTACCTAATCTTCAGGATGTCTTTGTGTATTCCCAGCATCTCTTCTTCTTGACTCAAGTCCATGTGTCATGATTTAATGATAGTACTGTCACTAGCAATCTAGGCAACTAATGTGAATATGCCCTCCATCCCATTGTGGCAGTGATAAAGTTTTGTCCAATTATTTTACAGGTACATTTTACATACTTTGGAAAAAAACTTTGCTGAAGATATTAAAGAAGAGATAGTTCTGCTGACAACTTGTGAGGAAATAATTTTCTGCCTCCTCAGGATTAGAAGATCTGTTTATTCTTAGTGTCTTCTGAAATAAAATTAGGTAAGAAATGTTTTTCTTCATATTTTGAATAATTTGTACTGTGCCTACTCAGTTTCTTTGAAAGCTTCTAGAATTCTATTCCTTTGGCCTCTGAGAGAATACAGTTAGCATTCTTCTTTAGGAAGTTAGAGGGCCAGACAGCTGTCAGCTTTATGATTTACCTGATCTCCAGTGTTAGGGAAAGCACAATTCAATTTTTAACCAAGTCTTCTACACAGCACTGCAGCAGGGACGCCAGCATTTCTCTTTATGTTTCTTTCTTTGAAATTCCCCATTCTATGCAAACAGTATACTTTTATTTTTAAATTCTTTGTGTGAGATGAAACCACCACTAACTGACTTTACTTGCCTTTAGTTCAAAATCAATGAACTGAATAAAATAATTCATATTTCTGTTACCCTTTCTCATTTCTAGAAAATAAAATACCACTGCTTGTTTAACTTGTGACTTGTCTAAACACGTTGAAAGCATTGACTATAAGGCATAACACTCAGACTCTGAAGGGGAACTGTGACAAATTCAGTCAAAAGGGAAAAGAGGAATAATTTATAAGAGGCACTGCAGATAATGATGCCAGCCAGTTATTTTAAAATGCATCCATCTCACCTTTTAATGAATTAGATTTGTCAACAGCAAATGTTTTATGCACTACTTCTAATAAAAGTGGCATGCTAGGTATGCAGTGCTTTGAGGTTCGCTTCTTCAAAGCTTTAGTGTATCTTCAATTCAAAGATTTTTTAAATAATAGATATTAAAAAGTATATTTAAATAATATTAAGGTTGTGACACAAACACCAAATGACAAAATTCAGGAGTTTCAAAGCAGAGGCTGACGTGCTATCACGATTTCACATTAGAACTGTTTTTTAAATTAGGAATATAACAGGCTGATTTGGGTATTGTATGTCAGTTTAACTTTAAATTCTCTGGTTGTTTTGGTTGGTGTCACAACCTTAATGTCAACTTTTCAAATAGGTTTCTACATTTCCTTTGGTTCGGGTCATTAAAAAATGCATGTGATAAATCTAAGAGGCATAAATAGGTCATACAGAAGTGGAATTCCTTGCTCCTCTGGAGGTGAGAGACAGCTAATTTATAAATGGAAAACAGTTAGCTTAGGCATTTCCAGTAAATGTTTGGTTTTCAGTATTTGTTTAATAAAAATGTAAACCCAAATAACAAGACATGATATTGGTATAATTCTATTCAAATTCTATTCCTCTTGTACCTCTAATCCTAATGATTTTATCTTGTTGGTGTTATCACCTCTGTAGATATAAAAAACCACGTTTCACTATTGATTTATTTTTTCACTAAAAGCACAAGTTTAATTTCATTTTGTGAATACTTATATGATATAATTGAGTACAGGTAAGCCCTGCCTTGCAAACTTACATCTGGCAGTCCTTTTAATAAAGTATCATTATGCAGAGTTTTTGGTAAAATCTTACTATTTTAAAGTAACACTTGTCATAGAAAGTAAAATGAAAGTAAAATCTTATGTGTTGTGCATTTGTTTAAAAAATCTAGTACCACAGCAGACTAAGGAGCAGTCAGGAACACCAATCTGTAGGGAAAGAGAAAGGAGACAGAGGAAAGAATAATCTACTCACCCAGATCCCTCCCTTTTTCTTGATTCTTATCTGTCATGATTTGACAGAGCAGGTCTGTATGGCCTATGTTGAATATAGTTTTAATTTAGAAAAATAATGTAATAGAATTTGTACTACAATTGTTTTTTTAATCATCTATGTTAAACAAAAGATAAAAGGATAGGCAAATTATCTATTGACCTTTACATGTTGACTCTTAAAGATACTCACCAACCAAAACACTTTCTAGCTCTCATCTTCTTTTAGATTAAAACACCTGGCTCTGGTTTTAATCAATGACTGGGTAACATTAGTCTTTCTTTTCTAATGTACTCCATTCCTTCTATGTCTTTATTTTTCAACCAGTGTTGAAATAAATTTCTTACAGTTTTTATTTGGGAAGTTACTATAAAATTTTATCTTCATTTGTGGTCCTAACTCTGCTTTTCCTGTGTATTGGCTCCGTTGATATATCATTATTATTAAATCACCATATTTTTGATAAATAATATTCTTTTAAGCCTCAGTTCTCAAAGGCAAGAAGTAATTTTGCTGCATTGTATTATAGTTTGAATATGTGTACAGTTGTCTGTGAAGGCGTTGATTAAATCTTCTGAATTCATTAAAAGTATAGCAGTGTTCTTCCTTGAACAAAATTTAAAATCATTGTTTAAAATATTTAAAATCATTGTTATTGTTGATATTAATACTACTACTGATATATATTTCCTTAAATAAAAATTTTAAACTATTATCGGCTTTTTCAAAATTCAGTGGAAGGTGTTCAAATAAATGAACTCAGTGCGTACCTGCAATATAGAAAAGTTTTCTGGCAGAGAAACAAAGTATGCTCTTTAAACACCATAGACCAAGCCAGCTTTATGCAAATTTATTTAGAGCACTTTCAGATTTATGTATTTAATAAAGCTGGGTAGTGATTCTAACTTATGTATTGAATGCCCTTCATTGTACAGTGATGTTCTTTTGACTGCCTGGAAAAGAATGATGACATTTTATTTAATGTTTCTGCTAGATCAGTCAACTCTGTAAATGGCTTTCTAATGGGATACAATATATGCTTTTAATATTTTTCAATAATACTAGGAGATAACATTTATTGAGTTCTTTCTATGTGCTAGAGACTGTTCGATGTGCTATCTATGGATTATTCCATGTAATCTTGATAACAACCCTTTAATGATCTCACTCTTTCACAGATGTAGTAGAGGCATATAAGGAGAAGGTTATACAACTAGTAAGCAAGGGATCTGGGATCGAAACATAAGCAGTGTGACTCCAGAGTTTGAACTCTGAACTTTTGTGACTCAGAGAATGATCTTCAGGCCAGCAGTGTCATCCTCACCCAGGAACTTGTTACAAATGCAGAATCTCAGAGCTGCTGAAAATCTTCATTTTTAACAATGTACTTAGGTGATTGGCACATGAAAAATTGAGACACACAGCTATAAACCACTATACTATTCTTGCCTTGAAATCTTGCCTAAGTATCTTTTAAAACACATTTTTATTTTTCTGTATGATGATGAATTCCTATTTGATGCTAATTTTGGAATTCTTGTTATATTTCAAGTGCATTATAATGAGCTCTAATAACCAAACATAAGCAGGGATGCAAGGTAGTCCTAATTTATCTTAAAATCAATTGTATAAAGAACAGAAAAAGAAAATCTCAGAACATAAACAGAAAGCATTTATATAGAGGCAAGTAATTGTTCCAACATTTAAGACTCTCTTAAAATCATAGTGTAGCCCACTGTCTTTGAGTATAGATTCTGGAGATAGGCGGCTTGGATTTGAAGCTCACCTCCTATTTCTAGCTGTGGGATCTCAGCAAAGTTACGTAATTTTTATCTGGGAAATGAGGTATAAAGCCACAGTCTACAGAATAGTAAGGATTAAATTAGTTAATGCATGTAAAGGATTTAGAAGGAACCCTCTAATGAGATAAGTGAATAAATATTAACTGCTGTTGTTCTTAGCTATTATTTCCATCTTTGAATTGAATAGATTCACATCTCATATTTCTTGGCTATCTATTGGCAAGAAGTTGACAAATACTTTTTGTTGGCAGAGCTCACCACATAAAGGGATGTCTTTGCTGTTAGAGTCCAAACCACAAACTTCAGTTTTTGTATTTTCTGAAAACTCTTCCTGTGGCACTTTTTCTGTTCATGAGTTCTGCTAAATGCCACTTGATTATGATACTTAACCAGTTAAATTTAGTGAAATTAGTTCAAAGTCAAAATGGAATGAGTTAACAGTATGTTGTAATTTTAAATAAACATGCTTCTAAACTAAGTAAAAATAATGAGTACGTGAGTCCATTTGGCCAACCTCTTACGTAAGTAATACAGAAAAATTAGATAAAGAATATTTGTGGGCTGGGCACGGGGGCTCAAGCCTGTGATCCCAGCACTTTGGGAGGCCGAGGAGAGTGGATCACGAGGTCAAGAGATCAAGACCATCCTGGTCAACATGGTGAAACCCCGTCTCTACTAAAAATACAAAAAAAAATTAGCTGGGCATGGTGGCGCATGCCTGTAATCCCAGCTACTCAGGAGGCTGAGGCAGGAGAATTGCCTGAACCCGGGAGGCATGAGCCGAGATCATGCCATTGCACTGCAGCCTAGGTAACAAGAACGAAACTCCGTCTCAAAAAAAAAAAAAAAAAAAAAAAAAGAATACTTGTTTAAAGGCTGAATGCTCTCAAATCTAGTTTGTTTCCTTCTGGATGAACATAATTCTGAAATGATCATGATAGTCTTTAGGGGAATAATGGTTTGGTGTATTAGTAGTCACTTAACAAGTTTTCAGAAATATATCTATATGTGAAGTGAGTTTGCGTGTTATTGAAAAGTACCATTTTGAAAGCTGATTTATAAAAGGTATTGAGATAAAAATGCTTAGTTAAAAGGATGCCCCGGGAAACTTTTCAATTGCCAAAGAGAGTTTAGTTCACTAGGTCTGGGATAGGGCCCAGGTATCTAAATTTTTAACAAGTGTCCTGATATTTTGGCTTAAATTGGTTTTGGACTACACTTTGAGATACACTGCCGTAAAGGGTAAAGACATGTATTGAAATAAGCTTTTGTTGACTTCACATTTATTTTTGCAATGTTGTTCTCTTTGATACTGTTTTGTTCAGCCTATGACCCGACTTTATCTTCTTTGTCTCTTTTCCTACCCTCTGTTAGTAGCTCCCAACCCTTCATTTTCTGCTTTTTTCTTTTTTACCTTTTCTTAAAAATATCTCTTCTGGATTTTTCAGTCATAGCTTTACAGATGGTTCTATAAAATGATCATAAATGGCTCTTTTTAATCTAAAAAACTCAAAGCCAAACTACAGATGCTGAAATCAACTTAAAAGCTATAGGCAGCATTAAAAA